AATAATTTTATTTATAAAATTTAAATAAATATATATAAAAAAATAAATACAAAATAGTTTTGTAATTTTAAATATATATATTATTTAATAAATTCAATAAAATAAATTTTAGTTATATTCAAAAAAAATATTTATTTATTTTAATTAAAAATATTTATTAATAACATATTTTTTAGAATTTTAGATTTAAAAAAATATATAACAAAAGATATTTGTTAATAGGTTTTTTCTTTTTAAAAAAATGTTTTTGTTATTAAAATATATAAAGATTTTTTTTTAAAAAAAATAGGAGTTTTCAATAAGTAAGATATTATATAAATTTTATTATTAAAAAATAAAAAAAAAATTTTAAAAGTATTTGTTTTTTTGAATTGATAAAAAAATCAACAAAAAGAATATTTCATATATGTTTTTAAATTTATAAATATATTAATAAAATATATTTATTTAAAAACTTTTATTTAATGTTATTTAATTTAAAATTTTATTTACAAATTAAGTAAAAACAAGAAAAACAAAAGATAATAGCTAATTACTAAATATATTATAAATTTATAAATACATTTATTAATGAAAGATATTAGAAAAAACAAAGGAATTTGAAAAAAATCAAAATTTTTTGATTCTAAATTCAAAAACCAATTTGGAAAATGTAAATGATAAATTATTGTAAATGTATTTTGTTAGCTTTTATATTTATTTAATAATGTAAAGTTTATTTTTTATTTTAAATTTCGAATTTAAAGAATATCAATAAAAATTTTGAATACGTGAGGTAACAATTTTATGTGATTAACTTATTAGATAAACGCAACTACAGTACAATGATTATTTTTTGGATTTTATTTTTTGTAACTACAAAAATTATTTAATCCTGATGAACAATTTATTTATTAAAATAGTTATTATTTGTCCAGCGAATTAGCTTAAATAAAAATAAAACAATATGTATTTATAATAATTTTACATTCGAAAATATGAAGTTATTTAATTTTAATTCGCTATCTAATAAATTAATTGTATAACTATATCTTTCATTAGTTTTCAGGGATAAAATAATTTGTTGCAATCTAATTTCATCATTATTAAAAAAATTTAAAGCTAAAGTTATGAACTAAAATTAAAGATAACAAATAAGCCAAGAATATTGACCAAATCCAATAAAACCATTTTTTAAAAACATAAATGCTCATTTCCTTCATATTTATGGCCATCTTGAGTTTGGAGATTAGAATCTACGTATAGACAACCTTCATTCAAATAGAATGTAATAGATCCAAAAATTGCAATTAAGTTTACTTTAAGTTTGATTCCATTTGTGGGATCTCCTCCTTCACATTTGGAAAGAAAGGATGCGCAGAGACTAATACTAGGTTCGGCCGGGCATATATATCCAGTTATACCAATAATAAATATTTGAAAATTTAAGAAAGCACAGCCATTATCATCTTCCTTAGAGGTCTGGATTACAACATCAGACTTATGATAACCCCCATCATTGGGAAAAAGATAGAATTAAATTTACTAAATGAAGTATCGAATAAAAAATAAATGCGGATAAAATATTGAATTATCATTTACCCCTAATATACAAATACGAGTTAATTAATATTGTTTAGAGAAAAGATGGATTATTGATATAAAAATGTTAATTTTTACTTTTAAATTGATTAAGCACCGGAGTTGGATCGCCTACAGTAAATACGAATTAATTAGAGAAAAAATGAATTATCGGCATAAAAAGAAACACTTACTTTTATGAATTTGAGGAACTGCATCTAAACTCGTTCGATTTAAGATAAGTTAGCATAAATAAAAAGGAATTATTTAGTATTTGCTTTTTATAACATAAACTCGGGGTTAGTAAACCAAGGTTTACTTGTAATGATGACGACGGTAGCGAGAACCAACATTAATATGAACAAGAGTTTAATCATTTTAGAAAAACAAGTGTCTTTTCATCCGGATCTATTAAGGAGAATTAATTAATCAGTTAAATACAGTATGATTAATATTATAATAAATAATGCTAACCTAAGATTTCTTCTTTTTTTTAAAAAAAAAGATGTGGTAATTATGAAAAAAAAAAGACAATTTGACACTCTTATATAAGTTGGAGTAATTGGCCGTTTAAAGAAACAAAAATGACGATACAACGTAAATACTTGTTTCGCATCGCGTTGTTAAAGTCATCTTTTCTGGTTAGAAAGTTTAGATTATTATGCTGGATTTAATAAGCCGGTCCAAGCCCTATAGTCAAAAGCGTTGAATCGATAATACGGACGGGTTTTCTTTTTTGGAATTCTAATTTCTGTTATTGAACAATAGATTATTCTCGCTCGGAATGGAAGAAAATTATAGTTTAATGTTGTTATCCTGAATTTTCTTGTTATATTCGTCCTCTACGTGGCGGCGTTTACAGTGTTAGTTATTTTCTCTCGATCGCTTTTTTTCGCGGTATGGCATACGCCGCAATAGTCTCTATTGCTAAACAGCTACTATTTCATCCATGGAAACAGTACTAAATAGACTAAGAAAGTATATCAGGTGATATTTAAAGTTAGAAAGTATGAATAAGGAGAGAAGCTACTAAATAGCGTTGTGAGCTAACTGGCGAGTCCGTCGATAATGTGAACACCTGCGATTAAAAACACGATAAAACCAAGAAATTCTACTTGACACTTGCAAGACTTAGTCATGTTACCCTGTTTTCTCATTAGGTCATTTCTTGTTTTTCTCATCAATTTATTACTTATCTGAAATAGTACAATCTTAGCCACATGACACAGGATCGCGTCCTGCTAGATTATTTTTCTTATGTACATATTCTTCGAGATATAACGCATAGTCCTGCCCATCAACATACATGCGTTAAAAAAACGCCGACAGATGATGCACGAATTCTATTTAAATCGGACAAAATAACAACGTGAATTAATAATAAATATAATCGAGGTACTTTTTATTATTATTAAATGAACTTATGCTTATGACTTATTTTCGAAGTAGTACATAAGAAATTTTACGTTTTTGTAAATATTATATATACATATGAACAACTATTTAAGGTAATAATTTTTGCATATTATATAGTGTTACAGAGTTTAAGTTGCCATTTTTGGGTGCAGAAAAATGCGTCACTCGTGCAGCGACTGTGCAGGTGCCCGAATTATGATCGACGATAGAAATCGCTGAGAAATTTTAAATAAATCTCGCGGAAACATAATTAAAAATTTCATATATGAAATTATAAATGATTTATTAATGATGCATTGAATTTCTATAAATTTTATTGATTAGAAAATATTTTGATAGAAAATCATTACATTTAAATACTATATAATTCAATTGTATGTTTTTTTTAATGAAATCTTGTTAAACACAAAAAACAACAAAAACAAAAAACTAAAAAAGAAATTTTTTAATTAAATATTTATTAAATACATATATTATTTATTATATATAAAAAAAATATAAATAAAAACAAATATAATTTTTATAAACAATATACAGTGTATATACCTATATAAAAATAATATAAATAAAATAAAAAATAAAAATCAATCATTTTAATCAAATAAAATAAAAAAGAAATTAAATTAAAATATAATATAACAAAACTTTATTATGAAGAGGAGTGTTTGGACATGTAGTAGTGGTTGTTAAGGGAGGTTGTCAAATGTTATAGAGTTGAAGTTTCTTATAGATGCTATTACCTAATTTTATATAATTCTTTTTTCAATTCAAAATTTATTATTTTATAATAAAATTTATACGATTTTTTAAATAATATTATTATCTAAAAACCTTAATTTTTTCTTTTTTTTGAAATAAATTTTTTATATTCTTATAAATATATATATAATTTTTTTATAAAATCAAAAATAAATTAACATAATTTTCATAATATGTTTAATTATAATAAAAAAACAAAATATTAAAATATTTAACTTGTTTGAAATAATTTAATTTTTTTTATTTGAATTTAGTAAAAAGTTATTATTATTATTAATTATTTTGAAAACCATTTAAACAATAAAAACTTGTAGTAATAAAAAAATAGTAAAAATATAAACTATTATATAAAATTATTTAAAAAAACAATAAGTTTTGTTATACATACGTATATCTTAAATATTTTTAATTAAAGTAAAATAATAAAAATTAAATAGTCTCTGAAGAATGTTTCTTTCTGTATATGTATGCTGAATATTTTGAAAGTATTTAAATGTATACAAAATATTAATTATCATTATCGTCATAATGATCAAATCAAATAACAAAAGCCAAAATATCAAATACTGAACTTAATGTATTACAATAATTTATTACAATAATTTATTGCAATAATTTATTGCATGCACTTTAAAATTGCTTTTGTATTTTTTGAAAGTTATCAAAGGATTTCACAGAATGGATGATATCATAATTTATAGCGGCATCTGTGAACCATCTTGATGCCCTGCAACAATATCGACTCCACTGTAGTTTTGTAATTAAAAATTTTATTTATCTTTAATGAACAATAATGAATTTAAAGTTTATTTATTAAAAATAATATTTATTCGCCCGGTGAATTAGTTTAAATAAAATAGGAGCTTATTTTAGTTTTAATTCGCTATCTAATAACTAATTTTATATTTATATATTTTTTTCTATTTTCTGATTCTTTGAGTTTTGACGTTTGATAAGTAACCACCTTTAATTTTTTCTATTTTTTATAAAATCTCGTAACAGTGATTCCTGTATTCAATTTTATCATACGGATGGTTTTGAATCTGCCACTTTCTGGTCTTATTTTTAATTCTATCACCAACTTTTATTTCATGGTTCCAATAATTGTACGGATCTTAAAATTAACTGCTTTTCCAGGAAGTAATATTTTGTTGCAAATATCTAATTCATAATTATTAAAAAATTTAAATTTATAGCACTATTTAAATTTGTTATTAACTGAAATTAAAGATACATAAGTCAAAAAATTGACCAAAACTTCTTTGTTAAAAACATATCTGCGCGCTTCCATCATATTCAAAGCCCCATGGAGTTTGGAGATTGAATCCTATTTCTAGACAACCTTCATTCAAATAGAATGTAATGGATCCAGAGATTACAATTAAGTTTACGGTAAACTCCAGTTCATTTGTAGGATCTCCTTCTAAACATTCGCCAAGTAAGGTTATGCAGAGATCAAGACTTGGTTCGGCCGGACATATTTGTCCAGTTAGACTAATAAGGCCAAGGATGTTAATATCCAAGGGAGTGCAACCGTTTACATCTTCTTCATAGGTCTCTACTTCAATATCGGACTTATCGGCAACGGAATGATTGTGGGAAAAAGAATTACAGTAAATTTATCAAATTGAGTGCCGAATAAAAAATAAGCGTGGGTAAAAACAGTAAATTATTATTTACTCCTATATATGTAAAATACGAGTTAATTAATATTTCTTAGAGAAAAGATGGGTTATTGATATAAAATAAGTATTTTTTACTTTTAAGCAGCAGCGGCATTGAATTTCCTGATATGCATAGTAAATGAGAATTAATTAGAGAAAAATGAATTATCGACATAAAAAGAAACATTACTTTTATGAATCTGAGGAGTTGCATCTAAAATCATCGATTTAAAATAAGTTTGTATATTTATATATAAAACTTAGGGTTGGTAAAACAAGATTTACTTATGACGATTGCGACGGTAGCGAGAACAAGCACTAATATGGACAAGAGTTTAATCATTTTGAAAAATAAGCGTCTATCTAATCCGGATCTATTAAAGATAACTAATCAATCAGTTATATATGATTAATATGATAAATGTCAGTTATTATAATAATAAATAATGCTACCTGAAATCTTGGAAAAGAGACAATTTGACACTTTTATACAAGTTGGAGTAATTGATCGCTTGGAAAATAAAAAGGCGATATAACTTAAATATTTGTTTCGCATCGCATTAAAGTCATCTTTGCTGGGTGAAAAGTTTAGATTATTTTCTATCTACACAAGCCCCCGATGGCTTGTCATCATGATAGGTTTTACTATAATTTTATATTACAGTTTAAAGGTTTTCCTAAACATTTGTAATAAATATTGATGATTCTTGGTGCTAATGTTGGTATCCGAACAAAACAGCTTAGTAATTCGGTGAAGCGATATATTCTATTCTGGAATTTAACAAATGTATTGGTCTAAAGTGTTAAATCGATAATACGAACGGGTTTTCTTTTTCGGAATTCTAATTTCTGCCATTTGAATAATTGTTTTTATTCTCGCTCGGAATGGAAGAAAATTATAGTTTACTGTTATATCCCGAATTTTCTTCCTCTACGTGGCGGAGTTTACATTGTCAGTTATTTTCTCTTGGTCGCTTTTTTCGCGGTATGGCATACGTCGCAATTGTCTCTATTGCTAAACAGCAATTATTTCATCCATGAGACGGTATCAAATAGACCAAGAAAGTATATCAGGTGATATTTAAAGTTGGAATTTTTGAATAAGGAGACTATTAAATAGCGTTGCAGACTGACCGGCGAATCCGCCGTAATGTGAACTAGAATCGATTAAAAACACGACAAAATCAAGAAACTCTACTTGAGGCGTGTAAAACTTAGCCGTATTGCAGTATCTTTTTTCTCGTTTAGGTCATCTCTTGTTTTTCTCGTGCATTGATTACTTATTTGAAAACCGTGTAATCTTAGCCACATATCATGATCGCATCTTGTTAGATTATTTTATTGGCAGTACATTCAAAATGAGTAACCTTTTAAGGTAATAATTTTTGCTTATTATAGTAAAAAAAAGTCGAGAGTTGACCAATAGCGTTTATGGAGTACAAAGTTTATTTTATTTAAATATTTAAATGTATTAATTTATTAAACTTTCATTTGATATCTGTCAAAGATACAGGTAACACATTGTTACTAAAATTTTTTGAATTTTTATTAACCTTAATAGTATTTTATTATATTTTATTATATTATATTATTATTTATTCTTTATATCTATTTTTTTATTATAGCATAACCATATTCTTTATTGAAATATATGTTGAATAATATATAAAATAATACAGAAAACATTATCAACTGTTAGTTATTCTAACTAAACCTGATACTATATATTCAACAAATGTTTATAGTTAACTTATTTATATATAACTAGCTATTATTATATATTATTTATACTTCAAAATAATAATAATAATAATAAATTGGTAACAGAAAAATACTTTGTTTAAAAGGATCAACATGATATATTAAAGTTTTTAAGATGTATCAAAATTAATACAATTTTGAAATATATAAGGTTAAGCAAAAAATATAATAATAATTTGTTTTAACAAAGGTCAATTTATTTATTCAATAAAATAAAAGTTCAATCTTATCAATTTTTAGATAAAATTAAAAACTTTATATACTTGTTTAAAATATAATATTTTTGTACATAATAAATATAAATTATAAAAAAAATATTATATTTATTAAAATAGTTATTTATATATATTAATATAGAAATAAATACTCTGATGAAAATAAAAAAGCAAAAATAAAAAAGTAAACTAAAAAATATTTTAAAATAATAATAATATAAAAAACACAATGCTAAACAGTAATATAAAGATTATTTTAGATTTAGTAATATAAAAAATATAAAATTTATGAATAAAACTATAATAATGAATTAATAATATAAAAATTTTTTTAGAAGTGAAACTAATTTATAAATAAATATTAATAAAAATAAAGCAAAAGATAATATAAATCTTAAGTAAAAATCAAGTATAATATTATATATCACTAACTTAATACTATATATAATTACTATCTAAACTAGTAGTTTTAAAAGTTACTATTTTTAGAAAAATATATAAATTTATTTTAATTTTTTTTAGAACTAGAATTTTAAATTAAATATTAAAATAATATTAACTTAATATTAACTTAATATTAACTTATAATAAATTTAATATACGGTATATTTATAACTCAATATATTAAATTTATAATAAATTTAATATTGACTTGATATCAAAATAGTATTGTTAAAAATCTTATTCAAAACAGTTTTATTAAGAATATTTTGATTATTAAACTGTTAATTATAATATATTGAATTCTGATTTTTAATTTTTCAAAATGACTTACAATTTTTATTTTTTATTAAGATCTTCTAATAATAAAATTCATAAAATTTTATATAGTCAAATATTTAATTAATATTCTTTAATACAATTGTTAGAAATTTTTCGACAGTACTCTATTAGTTTAAAATCTATTATTATTATTATTATTTTTAACAATATAATTATATTAATAATAATCTTAACTGATTTCAAACAATAATTATATTATAATTTATTTATAAATCAATTTTTCTATAATTAAAAGTATCAATTATTATATAGTTAAATTAATGATTATTAATCTTTAATAAATTTGAATCTATAACTTGTGATACAAACCTATGATACTTTAATTATTAAACTATAAATCTATAGATTATATTAAAATATAAGATATATAAATATAATATTTTATTATATATATATTAATTTATTATTTATTGTAATAAATATATTTTTTAAAAAAATTTTTTTTATTTACTTTTACTTTATCAAAAACTTTTTTTTTTGAAAATTTTCTCTTTTTCCCATTATTTCTTTTTTTTTGTCAAAAATAAAATCCTATAGCAGAATAAGTTTAAAATATATTAATATTATATAAAACTTCTCTAACTATTGATTATTATTTTTCAAGAATTATATATATATATAATATTGGTTAGCATATTTAAAAAAATACATTTGTTTAAAACTCTTTCCCGTACACAACATTTTTCCTAAAAATTTCCTTTTATAGTAATTTTCAAAATTAGAGAAAATATTTC